TTTTTACTGGGAAAAAATTTCCCTCTTCCTACATACTCAAACTTGGCCTACTACCCTTTAAAAAACTCTTCCTGCTTTAGAAACTACTCCTAACCATACACTTAAAACTCTGAATTTTCCCCCCCCTTCCCACCCTGTTTAGTTTTCCAAATCCATAAATCCCACGAGACCTTTTAGCCTTTTTAAAAATCTGTTCACTTTATGTTTATGTAAACCTGGTCCACACCCCCCTCCCTTCCTAAACCCTCTTGTTCATCGCTTCCTTTTTTCCCGTCTTTTTTTAATTTTTCAATATAATCTACCATACACTTTACCGGGGTATACTCAACGATTATCCCCCTATATTTTTGCACTCTTTTTTACCCCCCTTTGCCTTTATAAAAAGGGAACTATGCATGCTCTTCCCAAAACCCCTAGGTCCCTTTACCCTTTCCTACATTTATTAATAATTGCCCCAACCACTCCAAAACTTTTCCCCCATGCTTTTAACATTTTTCTTTATCCATAATCCCAGCTGCCTTACCCCTTTATTTTTACCTATGTCCGAATTCCCCCACATCACAACGGCTCTTTCATCCCAAAGAGTTATTCTCCTGCCCCATACCGAATCACGCTTTCCCCATTTCATCAACTTTTAAAAATTTTCCCCAAAAAATTCCCCCTCTTCCCAATACCCCTAATCTCATTTTAAAAACTTCCCCTCCTATTTTTAACGACAAATCCCTTTGTTCTTAGGCTTTCTTAACTTGTTAATCTCATCCAAAAATTTTTCTTATTTTTAAAAAAATTTTTTGATAAAATCCACCCCCTCTTCATTTGCTCTCTTTTTTCTTGCTTCCCACTTCTTAACCTCTCTTTTTCTCCATATACTCTTCCCCCCTTGCATCCTTCTACTTTGTAAAAACTTCTCATATTTTAACTTTTTTTTCCCCCTTTTACTTCTTTACTCATTTTTCCCCCAAACGTTTTCCTGGCCCACTTTCCTGTAACCACAAAATTTGTGAACACTCTAACATAATTTTTAAACCTACCCATACCTCTTCACCCATTGCCATGCTCCATTAGCCCATCTATCCCCCAAAAAGCGTTTTTTCTTCCTAACTGCCCCCTCTTTTAGTTTTAAACCTTCACCTCTTCTTCCCCCTGTTCTATTTCCCTTTTATCCCTCTACCTTTTACTTCAGTGTAGTACAACTAGAAAGTGATCTGATATTGTGGCCCTCTATTAACATGTACATCCTGAAGTCTACTCAACAGTCTTTTATCTACCAAAAATAACCCAACAAATTACTGTCATTTCGCCCTACATCATATCTTGTATACTTATTTATCCTCTTTTTCTTAAAATATGTATTCCCTATAACTAAACCCCTTTCTATACTAGTTCAATCAAAGGGCTCCATTATCATTTAAACTGTCATCCAAACTTACCTACCACACCTCTCTAAAAGTTTCTCCTACTTTAGCATTCAGGTCCCCTACCACAATTACTTTCTCACTTGGTTCAAAGGTCCATACATTCACTTAACATCTCCCAAAATTCTCTCTCTCCTCTGCATTCCTCTCTTCTCCGGGTGCATACCCCGCTTATTATGACCCACTTTCGCATCCAACCTTTCCTTTAACCCACATAATTCTTGAATTTCACATTCATATTCTCTTTTTCCTTCCATAATGATCATTTAACATTATGTACCCTTCCTTTGCTCTAACTCTCTCAGATACTCCAGTTTTAATCCCATTTATTCCCCCCATTGAAACTCTCCTACCCCCTTCAGCTTTGTTTCGCTTAGGGTCAGGACATGCAACTTCTTTTCATTCATAACATCAGCAATCATCTGTTTTTGTCATCCGCACTACATCCAACGACATTTAAAGCATCCAGTTTTATAAAGTTTTTCTTCTTCTCTTTTTTAGTAAATGTCTACGGGGAGAAGGGGTTATTTAGCCCTTTTGCTCCCGGATTTTAGTCGCCTCATACGACACGCATGGCTTAGGGAGGAAAGATTTCTTTTCCCATTTCCCCTGGCAATAGAAGAAATAAAGAAGAACAAGAGCTATTTGAAAAAGGAGAAAAAACCTAGAGGGTATGTATTATATATGCTTGTGGTGTCTGTGAAGTGTGACCAAGTGTAAGTAGGAGTAGCAAGATATCCCTGTTATCTAGGTGTTTATGAGACAGAAAAAGAAACCAGAAATCCTACCATCATGCAAAAACAGTTACAGGTTTTTGTTTCACAGTCATCTGGCAGGACGGTTGTATTCTGGGTGGTTGCTGTCTACCAACCTACTACTACTATATATATATATATATATATATTTTATATATTTATATTTTATATATATATAAGAGAAGTAAATGCGAGGGTCTTGGAAATAGGCGTGGAGTTTAAAAGATAAAGAATCACACATAAAGTGGGAGTTGTCACAGTTGCTCTTTGCTGATGACACTGTGCTTTGGGAGATTCGAAGAGAAATTGCAGAGATTGGTTTGGGTGAATTTGGTAGGGTGTGCCAAAGAAGAAAATTAAAAGTGAATACAGGAAAGAGTAAGGTTATGAGGATAAAAAGATTAGGTGATGAAAGATTGGGGTATCAGATTGGAGGGAGAGAGTATGGAGGAGGTGAATGTATTCAGATATTTGGGAGTGGACGTGTCAGCGGATGGGTCTATGAAAGATGAGGTGAATCATAGAATTGATGAGGGGAAAAGGGTGAGTGGTGCACTTAGGAGTCTGGAGACAAAGAATTATGTCCTTGGAGGCAAAGAGGGGAATGTATGAGAGTATAGTTTTACCAACGCTCTTATATGGGTGTGAAGCATGGGTGATGAATGTTGCAGCGAGGAGAAGGCTGGAGGCAGTGGAGATGTCATGTCTGAGGGCAATGTGTGGTGTGAATATAATGCAGAGAATTCGTAGTTTGGAAGTTAGGAGGAGGTGAGGGGTTACCAAAACTGTTGTCCAGAGGGCTGAGGAAGGGTTGTTGAGGTGGTTCGGACATGTAGAGAGAATGGAGCGAAACAGATAACTTCAAGAGTGTATCAGTCTGTAGTGGAAGGAAGGCGGGGGTAGGGGTCGGCCTAGGAAAGGTTGGAGGGAGGGGGTAAAGGAGGTTTTGTGTGCGAGGGGCTTGGACTTCCAGCATGCATGAGTGAGCGTGTTTGATAGGAGTGAATGGAGACAAATGGTTTTTAATACTTGACGTGCTGTTGGAGTGTGAGCAAAGTAACATTTATGAAGGGATTCAGGGAAACCGGCAGGCCGGACTTGAGTCCTGGAGATGGGAAGTACAGTGCCTGCACTCTGAAGGAGGGGTGTTAATGTTGCAGTTTAAAAACTGTAGTGTAAAGCACCCTTCTGGCAAGACAGTGATGGAGTGAATGATGGTGAAAGTTTTTCTTTTTCGGGCCACCCTGCCTTGGTGGGAATCGGCCAGAGTGATAAAAAAAAATATATGGTGTGTATGACTTAAAGAAAGGTTTGGATTGTTAGTGGTTTCAACTGGCACCAATCTGTCATTCTGACGAAATTAGGGAAAAGTGAATTCCACATCAATTGGCTTCTAAATTTGAAATCTGATATATCTTAATCTGGAATCTGGAGGGTGTTCCGGGGGTCAACGACCCCCGTGGCCCGAGGTAGATTATTACAAATTTACTTCAACCCCCATGATTGCTAGTTCTGAAGATAATGCCTTATTTAAAGACGATAAGGTATTTAAAGTTGATAAAGACTTGGAGTTTAAAGACCTTGAGTTTATGAAGCCTCCGAAAAGTTTATAAATTCCCATTTAAGAGTTTTATTCACGAGTTGAAGGTCTGAATTTGTTAACGGAGCTTTTAGTTGGTGAAGCCGTGTTCGAGAGTTGATGAAGCCGTGTTCGAGAGTTGATGAAGCCGTGTTCGAGAGTTGATGAAAGCCGTGTTTCGAGAGTTGTGATAGCGTGTTCGAGAGTTGATGAAGCGTGTTCGAGAGTTGATGAAGCCGTGTTCGAGAGTTGATGAAGCCGTGTTCGAGAGTTGATGAAGCCGTGTTCGAGAGTTGATGAAGCCGTGTTCGAGAGTTGATGAAGCCGTGTTCGAGAGTTGATGAAGCCGTGTTCGAGAGTTGATGAAGCCGTGTTCGGAGTTGATGAAGCCGTGTTCGAGAGTTGATGAAGCCGTGTTCGAGAGTTGATGAAGCCGTGTTCGAGAGTTGATGAAGCCGTGTTCGAGAGTTGATGAAGCCGTGTTCGAGAGTTGATGAAGCCGTGTTCGAGAGTTGATGAAGCCGTGTTTGAGAGTTGATGAAGCCGTGTTCGAGAGTTGATGAAGCCGTGTTCGAGAGTTGATGAAGCCGTGTTCGAGAGTTGATGAAGCCGTGTTCGAGAGTTGATGAAGCCGTGTTCGAGGTTGATGAAGCCGTGTTCGAGAGTTGATAAGCCGTATTTGAGAGTTGATGAAGCCGTGTTCGAGAGTTGATGAAGCCGTGTTCGAGAGTTGATGAAGCCGTGTTCGAGAGTTGATGAAGCCGTGTTCGAGAGTTGATAAAGCCGTATTTGAGAGTTGACTAAGCCACAATCAAGAGTTGACGAAGCCTTGTTGAGGGATGTCAACATCCTGTTTTATACACTGTTCAAGCTGTACTGCAAGTCTGTGACAGCGAGTTTGTCACCTGGAGATCACTCACCAGTTCAGTACTCTGAGTGTTCCCTTCCCCTTGTTGCCAGTGAAGGGCTTTTGATCCAAGAAAGCTGACCTATCCTCCCCTTGGCTCGGTCCTGACTGCCCCCCATTCCCCACGACCTACTGTATATTACCCATAAAGGGTTAATTAAGCGCTTTCTCCATCATTAAATGTATTAATATTCTACTCGTTTTATCATGAAGAAATATGGACAAATGGAACGAATTATTCATTTTTTATTCACAAAGTGAAAAAATAAAGATATTAGCATATAATAAATACATTTTATTGATAAATAATTCTAACTTTACATAATTTTCCAGCATGGGTAGCATAGTTTTTTATAATGGTACAATTGCAGTTAAAAACTGAAAAAAATAATTGATCATGAATATGTATAACAATTCATAAAGAAATTGCTTAATTTTTTTATTAAAATAATTCTCGTTTGGAAATACTGCCTAAAAAGGTTTATTATTTACAATGGAAAAATCAGTCTTATTATTGCGATCAGTAATATATATACATTAAATTTCGTTACTATTTTCATTTAGTGCTGTAATTACTTTCCATACCCATATCTCCTACCGTACAAACCATGGCCTCCGATACCACCATGGCCACCAATACCACCGATGAAACCTCCATGGCCAATACCTCCTAGTGATCCCCAAAGCCTCCCAAAGAACCACCGTAACCTCCATGACCTCCAAAGCCGTAGCTAGTAGTTGAACTAACTAGGCCACCTATGGCTGGAACAATGATTGCCCCTCCGCCGTAGTAACGTCTACCAAATCCGCCTCCAAAGCCGCCACCGTGGCCTCCAAATCCGCCTCCAAATCCGCCACCAACGCCGCCACCGAAACCGCCTCCAAAGCCACCAAGTCCTCCGCCGTAGAGACGACCAGCTCTGCATGAGCCCATCATTAGGGCAACACTTACGATGATCAGCAGCACGTTCTGAGGGATAGCAACATACATATCACCACATACGAAACACTGTTTTGAAATCAATAAAACGTTAAAAATGTTTGACATGAAAACCACTTTTAACAGTGACAAACAAAGCAGCAGCATTGCAAAACGTCCTGTCGTGCAATGACACTGATTATTTGTCAATAATGATTTTTCCCACCATTTACTTTCATGGGTTATGGTGAAATTGCCAAGATTAAAAAAAAATTATTTTCCTTTCATATACAGAGATGATGTGCACTAAGAAGTTAAAAACACTTGCTAATCATATGTTTAGGAACCGAGTCAGATGGTTCTTCTCGACATAAGAGAAAAACACGTAATATCTCGTACTGTTTGAGAGGAATACTACCATGGTTTCAGGAAGTTGAGAGCAGAGTTGTCGACTGGTGGTGTTGCTGTGTCGACGCCTTTATATACTGGTTGCTAGTTCCTCACCTCTGATCTCCCTTGACGCAAGGCCGCATGCAATTGGTTCTCAGCGACTGACCATGAGTATTATCATGTGGTGCATTAGCAATGTTATGTAGAACACGCTTTACTTGGGTCGTGGGGAGGGTCACGTTGAACACCATAACTACATGAGAAATTCGACTACTATAATGAAAGGGAAACGAATATCTACCGTTTTCGTGATGTATAAGCTAAATTATCAAGAAAAACAGTGTTGTATCACTATATGAATATGCAGAGCCATTGAAAGCAGTTAATGGATGTAAACACCTCAGTTTCATGTATATTATAGTAATTGCTAGTAAATATTAAATCATGCTAAATTCGTATAGCAGTGATTTGTTCATAATTTTTCTGCACATTAAAAATTTTAGGTACAATATTCATATTGCAGAAACACAGTATATATACCGTAAAATACGAAGTTTCAAAATGTTTTAAGTAAATTAAGTTTTCGAAGCGTGTTTAAGATGTCAACTGTGATTACGTTTTCTATTAAATATGATTTTTTTCTTATCAAATATTTAAGATAATTATTTACCTTATTAATTTCACACACGTTCAATTTTTAAGTAACATAATGAAAGCTATTTTATTAGCTTGTAAAAATGTACAGATTAAAAGTCCCACCGCTGAAGTAAAGAGATAAATTATTTACTTAATAAAACCGCGGGTTGTTAAACTGTGATTAAAAAACTAAGTTTTGCGGAAAGGAAAGTGGGTTGTCGGGGACTCGAGATGGTTGACACATATAAAACAGAAGTGATTCATATGAGGTGTGTATATGAGTTAGCAAGTTTAAAATGTGTGTGCAAACACAGCTGTCTAAACAGTTCTTTGTGTTACCAAAGAGGTGATTTATTTACTTCGAGCATTTCATTAAGAAACGTTTCTCACGACTCACGAAATCGTAATGACGCGATTGCAAACAAACCATACCACGGTTGGGGTTTGAACCTGCAGTCAGAGTCTCAGAAATCCAGGCCGTCGCTGGCCCAGTGGCTAACGCGACGGTCTGGATTTTTGAGACTCTCTGACCGCGGGTTCAAACCCCACCCGTGATATGGTACGTTTCTTACACTAGGGACTTTATAAATCCATGTGAACTCATAAAAGCCCTAATGGGCTAAATGCCCCTTTATAAAATGTCCTAATTGTTACATACGTTATTACCACAGTTGATGTATGGTCCTTAATGGTCTGTAATGTATGATCCACATGGAATGGTCTGTAATATAAAATCCATAATGAATGGTCTCTAATGCATAGTCCATTTAGGGATGGTCTGTAGCGTATGGTCCATAAGAAATGGTCTGTAATGTAAGATCCATAATGGTCTATCATACACAAATAACCTCCTCCTCCTCCTCTTCCATGTGCGGGTTATTTGTGTATCGTTCCAGTCACGGAATTGTGCCTTTTTTTTTTTTCTTTTTGTTATTTTTGGTCTATCATGGTCCAAAAAGAATTGCTTTTAAAATACAGCTCTTAAGTCACTATCTCTTTCAAGCATTGCATCTCCTTACATGTTGAACGGATGGCAGATATAACATCTATGCTCACCCACACAGAATTACGTCTTTAACGTAAGGTTCTTGACACAATCTTTTTCTAGAACTGCGTCTCTTTCAATATCAAAAGGCTGACTGACATAACTATCAGGCTCATCCAAACGGTCCTGTAAACAAAAAGGGTGAACTCATTTCCCCAACAAATTCCTACTGTTACTGAACTTGTAATCTTATGAGCTAAATAAAAGTGAAGGCGAAGGACTCAAATGATCAAAATATCGTAGTGAAAGTGGTAAATGAGTGTCCAAGATAACGACCGACCTTGGCCAATTTAAACTGACTAGATGACGTGGAGCTTCAACAATGACAATATATTATTTTTCAGCTTCGACAAGCTGTTATTTTTTTCCATATCATCTTCACGTACATCTCAGAATTTCTGTTTCCAATCATAACTGTTACAATGAACTTCCTGGCGATTCCGTTGCCCCTTTAAAGAAAATTTAACTGATACTGAGAGCGAAAAAAAGACAGTTGTAAGAGTGACGATAGTGAGGATATTGTTGGTGATGGTAATGTGGCTAGCAGTGGTGGTAGTGATGATGATGATAGTAATGATGATGATGATGATGATGAAGACGAGTTTACGGATCATGAAGAGAATCAAGTAAAAAATAAAATAATGGAAGTAAAAATTCTATTGGTTTGTTTAGTGATTATAAATGATACCAATTGTAGTATATACATCAATAATAATAGTAATTATATTAATTATCTTTTACGTTTAAAGACATATATTTTCATTTATGTTAATGTAAAAGTTAATAACTTTGTACTAAAAGAACCTTAGAAAACTTGCCTAACCTTATTATAACAAGTGCAATTTAATTTACCTCACTGCAACTAAATATATTTTACTTAAGTTCACAAAATTTAATAATAAACACAATGAAATATATTTTTTTTTCGTTTGGTTCAGAATGATTTTTTCGAAATTATTACATACACTCTTTTTCGAATGACTTATCCGGCAAGAAGAGCATTGCTATTTAAGCCAAAATAGCAAGTTTTATCTATTCGGCACGACATTACACACACACACACACACATACACGCACACACACACTATATATATATATATATATATATATATAATATATATATATATATATATATATATATATATATATACAAAAATAAGCGGGTATGTACAGAGAAAGATCAGTCAGCAGGACTCGATCCCCCTACAGGAAAACCGGCAAGATTCCCAGGTAATGCTCTCTACCACTCAACACAAATGCCTATAAGCTGGGCAGCCTGGTTTGCACAGCCTGGAAACATGAGTGAGCCTCAAGCATTGATTCAAGCAATTTCAATCTCCTCCTGTATGTTCTGACCTTACAAACGATTTTCATATCAATGCAAGACGCAGAAACAGACTGGCATTTGTGGCCTCTCTCTCTTACATATAATTGCATATGTAATGTATATTAAAAATACAGATACAGCCGCAGGCGATCTCAAAATGTTCAATATAAAAGGGAATACTTATTCAAAAATGGACATTAAGTAGCACAGGAATGTTAAAAGTTAAATAAGATATTTTCTTTGAAATAAAAACTTTCATTACTCATTACTTGGCTTTTTGAATTAGTTAATGGTTGGCCTTTTGAGTTAATGGTTATTAAAAGCACTTGTTGATAGTGTGTGTGTGTACTCATCTAGCTGTACTCACCTAGTTGTGGTTGCAGGGGTAGAGTCACAGCTCCTGGCCCCGCCTCTTCACTGGTTTCTACTAAGTCACTCTTAGTGCTCCAAGAGCTTTATCATACCTCGTCTTAAAGCTATGTATGGATCCTGGCTCCACTACTTCACTTGCTAGACTAGTCCACTTCCTGACTACTCTATGACTGAAGAAATACTTCCTAACATCCCTGTGATTTATCTGAGTCTTCAACTTCCAATTGTGACCCCTTCTTTCTGTGTTTCCTCTCTGGAACATTCTGTCTCTGTCCACCTTGTCTATTCCACGCAGTATTTTGTATGTCGTTATCATGTCCCCTCTAACCCTCCTGTCCTCCAGTGTCGTCAGGACTATTTCCCTCAACCTTTCTTCGTAGGACATTCCCCTTAGCTCTGTAACTAACCTTGTCGCAAACCTTTGCACTTTCTCTAATTTTTTGACACGCTTGATCTGGTGTGGGTTCCAATCTGGTGCTGCATATTCCAGAATGGGCCTGAAGTACACGGTGTACAGTGTCTTGAACGATTCCTTACTAAGGTATCGAAACGCTATTCCCAGGTTTGCCAGGCGCCCATATGCTGCAGCAGTTATTTGGCTGGTGTGTGTGTGTGTGTGTGTGTGTGTGTGTGTGTGTGTGTGTGTGTGTGTGTGTGTGTGTGTGTGAGAGAGAGAGAGAGAGGGAGATAGAGAAAGTATAAGCAATTCTCTCAGTCGTGAGGTATTATGTTAATATTGATGTCGTTACTCTCACATGCAATATTAAAATTTGTGGATAAAATACTATGTACTCTGATGCAGAGTTTGCAGGTTGAAGTCCTGCACAGGACTTGGAGACAATGTAAATAATTTCGCAAAACCACGGGAGGAGTAGAATGATAGCTCTAGGCCTTTAGTATTGCAATCAGCACATCAGGATCTTGCAAAGTTGCAGAAAAGAAATGGGGTGTCCAAGCAAATTAGATCCCAGGGATCATATTTGCTCGAACATCCTCTTTTGCCCATAGCCAGAAAGACAAATATTATAGCATTAGAAAAAATCCAAAAGCTTAAAATTTTAAATCAAACGAAATTAAATGCAATAATAAAAAATTCCGTCACATTCGTATCGGCTTGGATACCCTCCTCTTCTCTGCATTTTTGCAAGCTCCTGATGTTGTGTTGATTGCAACACGAACCCTAGAGCAAACCCCCCCTTTTATTTTTTTGCGTATATTAAAAATATATATTTTATTATATATTTTTTTTATATATATATTATATTATATATATATATTTAAAAATAAATATAAAACATGTGCCGAATATTAAAACGGGTCAGTTAGCAGGAATCTTTTTAAAATTAAAGTCCTTTCTAAATTTTTTTTATACGTTTAAAGAAAATTTTTTTTCCATTAATTTTAAATTAAAAAAAAAATTAATTTTGCTCCAAAAGAATTTTAGAAACTTACCTAACCTTTATTATAACAAAACAATTATTTTAGCCTAACCCAACTAAATATATTTTAGATTTTTTACATAATTTAAATACTAAAGAAAACGTGGAAAAATTTTTTTTTCGTTAGTTCAAAAATATTTTGGCGAAATTTTTGCATCCACAAATTTTCACTTGCCCTATAGGCAGATGAGGTTGCATTTAAGCCAAGATCGCAAGTTCTGCCTATTCGCACG